GGTGATGCAGAGGCCTGAATGTACGGGGTAAACCCATCAGAGCATAGACCAAGTCTGACGTTACGCGGTTCACTAGCAAAGGATGGATGTTTACGATTGAAGTGCTTCCACGCTTCACCATCTGAAGGATGACGCAAAAATCCTTCAGTTTTCTTACCATCATGCCATGTCATGTGTTCTGATGTTTCCATTAAAGTAAACATTCTTTGTAGTCTTGGAATTATAGGCAAGTAGAACATGGACTTTATTGGAATTGGTTTTTTTTGCCTCCGTCCAGCATGCATTGTTTGATATCGAGGTGAGCCACAAAACTTGCATTCAACCAACAATGCATCATTTTTGCCACTGTCATTGTCATAGAATAACATACATCCATTAACACAACAATCAATCTTCTTGACTTCCAATCCCAACTTTGAAACACATTTTTTGGCTTGGTAATAATTCTTCGGCAAAATATTGTTTGATGGTGTCAAATCTAACATCAATTTTGTATAAAAGTCCACTGCTTGAATGGGGACGTTCCAATTAGATTTTCCAGCCATGAGTCTAATGCACACTGATAATTTTGACTCAATTGAACCTTCAAATACAGGTAGATTTGCCTCTGTTAGTAAATTGTAAAACCTCTGAGTGGTTTCATTTGGAGGCTCTTCATAATGACTATCGTTTGCTTCTTGTTCAGCATGGCGACGAAGATCATTGTCGACCATCTCTTGCATATCGGCAAATTGATCTGTCTCAGATGTACGTACAATAGTATTCAAACCTGATGCGAGCCGCTTTTCAGCTGCAGTGGAGGTCGAAGGAATTTCTTCACCATGAAATGTCCAAACCGTGTAATTAGGCATGAACCCTTTTTGGTATAGGTGAAGTTTGACGACATCATCTTTCAAAGTTCTTGTACATTTGCACTTGATGCATGGACATCGAATCCCTCCATCAATAGCATAATATTGATATCGTCGGGCCGTCTCCAAAATCTCTTCAACTCCGATGACAAAAGATTCCTTCAAACCTCTCCTTCCACTATAACAACGGTCATACATCCATCCACGATGGTTGAGAAAATGGGACATGTTCTGTGACAAGCCAAACAAATAAAAACTTAGCCAAAACATACACACTCCATGTGACATAAGTAATAAACCTATTACTACTCAAGTCAAACATGGAAGGCAATTTCAACATTATTGTCATAGGCATTCAATAAGGGCATCCAAAGAGAAGTCCTCTGTATTGAAATGCCTTTGACATCCTAAGTGCTTGTGTGTACAATTTGGGGGAGTCAATAATCTGACATTACTAAAGTTCTCTTTTATAGAGTACTTTTACATATTTTGTACATTGTAAGTGTTTAAGGTACGGTTACCCTTCTCATTCTATTGAGAATGTTTTTAGTACCATAGGACTTTAAATGACTACTTAACTTAATGAAGGAGTAGCCTAATAAATGAACATACAATATACAGGAGCATACAATATATACATCAACATACAACATATAGATGAACATTTACTGGTGGTCTAAATGCAGGTTTGATAACAAATTTGTCCAAGGAAATAAAATTATGTACTACTTTAGTCTATTTAAAGGTGTTCAATAGTCAATATATGTTTTTCTTTTTATTTTTCAATTCACACTTCAATTTTATCTTTCTTTTATCTTTTCAAAGTGGTGTACATAGTTAGTTTACTGTTTTCGTGACTACTTTAATATACTTTTCGGTCTTTGGACTTTTAGTGTATTTTAGGTACTACTTTTAGGTTTCTAACTTGACAAATTTTTAGTTTTAGGTATTTTATGTAGTGTGAGTGCTTAAATAGCTACGTTCTACCATTCTTAACTTGTTAGGATAGTTTATTTGTAGTACATTTTCCTAGTTTAGTGTAGTATATTTCATCTAAATTATGTGTAACTCCACCTTGTTGCTGTTTTCCGGGTTGGTCTTGTGTACTTACACATTCTACAGTCACTTTTAACATTGCCTAGTTAATTGAATGTTATATATAAACTCACTTTTGGTGGTGTGAGGGAGTGATTATTCTGCAGTTTTGGCCATAACAAAGTCAGATTTCGAAGTATACCATTTGTATGGTGTGTCACACTTTGAGCAAGTCTAAAGTGATCTTTAAAAGTTGGTAGCAGAGTTCAAATACTCATAAAACAGTCTAAGTGCATAATAGATACTAAACCATCAAAATTCAGTAAAAACTAGGAACTGGCAAGGTGTTTTTAAGTAACAGTTTGGATGGACCAGCACTGGAAAATAATGTATATAATATGTGAGATAAACAATAATACATCATACTAATCTATATTTTAATGTTTGAGGGATTAAACTAGTATAATATTTAATGTAAAACTGACTCAAAAATCTTTACAGTTGACCACAACTTGTGCGTCTACAAAGGGTCCATATAAAAAAAAAGAAAAATCTAGGACATGTGTATGTGTCCCATAACAAGGACAATTCTACTTTTCTACAGGAAAATTAATTAATCATAAACTCAAATTTGTGGGACAGAAATACTTGTTTTTGAAAACCTCTTAAGTGATATATCCTACAACCTATTATCATTATTTATAAAAAAATCCATTCCATATTTTATAAACTTAAAAACATTGCTTTATATTGAAAAGAACTTTGGCCTGATTAAAAGTATTTTTCCTTTCTTCTTTTATTTTCTTCAATATTTAACTTTTTTTAATAAAGGATAGAAAAAGGTAAAAGAAAAGTAGAAAATGTGAAGGTAAATAATTTAAAAGATTTCTTAACACGAATTTTAAGAAAAATATGTTCTTAAGTTTAAGTACAAATAATTAATACATAACTTTTTTTTTATCTTTTTTTCTAAAATGAAATGTAACTAGTACAGATATAAAGTTTCCATATTTTGAAATCATTTTTAAACCTGTTAATTTAAGTAAATAAAATATAAACGTGAAAACAATATATAAAGCTGATTTAAATTTTTTGTTCGGTTGCACAATCTAAATAAAGAAGAATTAACTATTTAAAAATTTAATACAGCACAATGTTCACACTAAAAAAAAGTGAATGAAGAATCTAAAATATAGAATACCATAATCAGGGCCTAGCATTAAAGACTTTACACTAGCGTATTCTTCCAGAACATGATGTCTAAATATGCAAAAAGAAAACAAAAACAAAGAGTCAATAATACAGTGAGAAGTGACAGCAGCATGTGGTTCTTGTAGTTAGGCAAGGTTTGCTTAATTGTCCATTTCTCATCATATAACTTAAAACTATGGCTGCCACTCTCAAATGTAGGACTACCCTTTCTGCTCATGTAATGATCAAAGTCCATTTTGCAAAACAAAACTAATTACTTTAGGTTTGGTTTGGTCTCTTTAAAACTGGCAAGACTGGCCTATGCTGTCACTCAATGGAATTTAACTGGTTTTGCCTTATACTGATTCACTGCCCTTTTGCCATTCTGTGTCTCACCTCTCACCTAACACCAAATAAAGTCATTTCACACTATTTCTTCTAACAAAACAGACAGTATAATCGATGCAACCCCGCAAAGATACCATGACTTAGATCAGTGACGTACAATACCAGATTACCCAATCCCCTGTACCCAACTGGGTACCCTTTTTACTAACCTGTCACTGTTTTCCGTTCCTCCTTTTCTTTCAAATTTTTGGTACTGTTTCACCCATTACATACATATATATTATGGAGCTGTGTCAGTGAAACATTGATGATAGGTTGGTGCAGCCCATTTTATTAATTGTTTATTCACTACTAAACAATGACATTTATTGGTCTATATATATGAATTTGAAGTTGGTGCAGCCCATTTAAGATCAATTCTTTTTCTTCCCTCCCAAAATGCTGTTATTGGTGACAGGTTTGATGGTAACAAGTTGTTGGACAGAGACACAGGAAAGAAGATAATGTTTGTGGGGGACTCCATAAGTAACAACATGTGCCAGTCAATCACTTGTTTGCTTCACATTGCAGTCCCAAACTCAACTTACATTTCAAAAAGGTTAACATACGAACTCTTTCAAAACGGGTGGTTGATCAAGAAATTAAACCGATATATGTAATGGTGACCGAGAAATGAAAGTGATTGGTAGGGAGAAAACATTAATGTTAGGAAAAGTGAAGATGGGTCTATTCTAAGGCGAACAAGCATAGAAAATGAAAGAAAAATGCTTATGCTAAATGAATTAGTGGTGATTGTAATGGTGAGAGGGTGGAGTTAAAGTGAGGAGGAATATATTCAAAACGACTCTCAGTTGCAGGATTGAATAATCCCACTAAAGCACCATTGCAGAACATGCATGTCTGATAAAGGGCGAGTGAGATAGGACTACATTCTTTGTCTTTCAAAAATATTGATTCGCTTCTCCCAAAAACATGTCCTGGTATGCTTGAAGCATATCTTCAAATGATATGATTACTAACTTACATAATGAAGAAGGCCAAGGCATGCAATTCCAAATTTTGTGTTTAAATTTTTTTTCCCAAAAGTGGATCCCTTACTGCTGACATCACCCTGAGAAAGACCACCAAAAGAAGGAAAACAAGGTGAAGAGAGCAAGACATGACACCAATACTAATAATTTCATAAGGGCACCAGACAAGGGTACCCCCACTTCATCACCAAAACAATCACCACCACCTCCACCACCTTATTATTATTATTATTAACTCTTTCATTTATACTTACACAATCACTAGTATCTTCTATCCTCCTTTTGCTTATGTAGGATCCAAGTGTTTATAGTAGTTTTTGTCCCCACACTCATCACCCTTTCATAATATAAAGACTAAAGTTCAGCAACATTAATTATTTTTTAGTAGAACACAAAGAGAGAGAAAGAGAGAATGTGGTTGCATTCTGAGGATTCCTATTCTTTTGTATGCGTGGGATCATGTCCCAGCACAAGGATGTGTCCATGAACTGTGGAAAAAGTTTTTTTTTCCAGAATAAGATATGTATAACTCAATTATGGTTCTCATCCTCATCAGAATAATCAAAACTCATAATAACTTATTAATTATCACTAATATGGATCTGGTCATCCTCTGGCTATTTTTTTTTCACAACACAGACACAACAACTTCATGTGTTTTCGTTTCTGGTGCTTGTTTTTTCTGTTTACACAGCAAAGCCTAGAGGCTTTGTACTTGTTTGATTGACTTATAATTTGGTTCAACTTTTGCTACATTATAGGATTACATAGCTTCAATCACGTGCTTGAAGAATGGGTTCTTAGTGGATTTGACTATTGATAAAGAAAAAGCCAAGATTTTGAGGTTGGACAGAATTAGCTTTGGGGATCAGTGGAAAGGAGTTGATGTTTTGATTTTCAATTCTTACCATAGTTGGTAGCACACAGGACAGTAAGCGTAATGAAAATCCTTACATTTGAGCTACCTTTTGATAGGTTCTTTTAATCAAGAACCTATGAATAGCACTAGAAACACAACACAGAACAGATCCTCTGAATTATACACCCTCCTTTTATTGCAAAAGAATCAAGAAAAAGGTGAATACAAGGTACTCAGAGAGCTTAACCTCTCCCCAAAGAACTCCAAGAGTTCTTACACAATCAACAAGACTCCAAAAACTCCCTCACATACAACTCGTTCCCCCCTTTATACCAACTACTAACAGAACTAACAGAAACCTATTTCCCCATTCCCTAACTGCCTTGGCAGTTAGGCTTAGTGCCTTTACCTCTTCTCCTAGATACAATTAACTCCCTAACACCTTTTTTATGCTTTATCAGAGGACGTAGCCATGTGGCTAATGGCTTCAATTTAATGATATTAAACGTGTTCCAACTACACAAAACAATCAAACCTTAGGTGGAATACTAATTATGCTCTACATATAGTCCATAGTTTGCTAGTTTCATACTAAACCATATATAAAGTCATTTAAACACAAATGAATGTTCAAGCAACTTTGTTTGATGATTATTATTGTCTTTAAACTCTAAAATGAGTTCAAAACACCCTACCAACATATCCATGAACACCTTTTTAACACACTAAACACATTCACATTTGAATTTATAACATATAAAAAG